ACCCAGTAAGGAACTGAGACTTCCTGATTTCAGCCAAGTGAGTGGGCCATTTTGGAAGTTCATACTCCAGCCTCAGTATAACCTTCAAATGACTGAAGCTCTGGTCAACATTTTTATTGTAAACTTGGAAGAGACCTTGAGTGAAAGAACCCAATCAAGCTTTTTCTGGATTTCTGATGCACCAAAACTGTGTGAGAACAAAAATGTTTATTGTTGTCTTAAGCTGCTCAGTTTTAGTCATTTGTTACATAGCAGTAGATATCTATTACCACATGAAATTCAGAGTGCTCTGAGATTCCACAAGAGAAGCAATCACACCAATTTGGGAGTTCTAGGAAAAATTTAGGAAACATAGGAAAAATTAAGGGAACATATGAAAATAATAAAACAAATGGTTATCCCTGAATCTTGCAATCTTGGTTGCTACCATTTAAAATTAAGGTACAAAAATTAAGAAATGGCTCTGGCAGGACAGATACATTGTGAAGCCTCAGGCTAAGGTGCTTTCTTTTAGCTTATGTATATTGCTTGTTTTTAAGAAGTTGGGTTGAGAGGGCTGATCGCAGTAAATTTGGGGATAAAACAAAAGGACAAACTCATGGGCACAAGGGGCCAACCAATCAATGTAAAGGTCAAGCGTGTGGACAGGTGATGCACCTAGGGTATAAAGGGCTCCTTCTCACAGTGCGCTTGGTCTTTGTCCCAATAGAGGCCGCCAAATTGGTGCTCTGGGACTTAGACCCTAGCTCGAGCTAGTCAATAAAACTCCTTTTGATGATTTCAGCCTCAGTGACCCTGTCTCTTTGTTCTGTGGTCCTACAGACAGACCAAAATGAAGGACTCAGCAATGCCCTGCAAAGGATGAAACATAAAATATTCAAAGCCCACAGAACCATGTTTAAATTTAAAAACAGTCAGACTTTAAAATTCAAATTCCAGAATGTTAGGATGAAAGACCAGATAAATCTGAGTAATGATGTGGCTTTAAGGGACCAATATATAATGCTTTCTTTTTCCCCAAATTCACATTCAGAAACAATAGAGAAATAAGCTATGAGTGATCAATGCATAGTACTCAAAATGCTATTTTTATTATTGATCATGTTGAATGTAGAATATGTCTTTACATCTGCATTTCAAAGGGCGTCCTGTAGTTTTCTCCCTGGATTAGACATATTTACATGACTAGTCATTTTTATCCAGTAAAAACAGGAAGGAAAGGGATAAGCGGAACTTGCTAACTACTCCTCTCAAACAGACCCATCAGGTAAGTGGCTATTCCTCCCCTGGGAAGGACTGAATAAAGGCTGAGGCAAAAGACCAGTCTTTCCCTAACAGAAGTTCTTTCACATGGAGAGGGGAAAGAGGTGGTTTCCTCCTAATAAATGGGATAAATTTAGGATGATGAAAGAAAGTGCTACTTCACTTGTCAGAAAGTATACTTTTGATTTTTGGAATTCTATCTAAAACGTGGTAATTCAATGTTAAACAGGTTCTGTTAAATTTACGATGCCAGTGCTAATTAGGAATAATGTCAGCTTCTGACATATTATCTCAAGGAATGGGCTATATGAACAGGCATTCAGAAAGAAACCCTGAGAACTGGAATAAAATAATAAGGTTTAAGTGACTGTAAAGTAACCCAGGCATGTTTAATGTGGAAACTGCTGCAGAGTTTTAGCATAAGGCAGAGAGGATATCCATTTACCTGGCTCCCGAATCTTCTTGAGGATCTAATGAAACTTTTACAACTTCTATCCAGCAAATGGATTTTATACAAACATGTCTTGTAGAATTTTCTTTTTGGGGGGTGAAGTGGGTAATGAACATCACAAAGCCTATGCATGGAATTAAGTAAAATCCATTTTGGGAGAAAGTTTTGAAATTTCATGTCCCAGAGAGAAAAAAGGCAAAAGGACTGTCTCATCCCGTGGCCTTGAGCTGAGGTGAGTGAAAGGGGCAGCCTTGCAAAAGTAACAGGCAAAGGCCTAATGCCACAATTCCCCAGGAACAGTTAAAGTTCAATCCTATGAGTTCTCTCACTAACCGGTACCTTGCAGGAGTTCTGTTTTGCATAACTTCTAGAAAGAGCTGAAGGGATGGAACAGAGATGTAAATTTCTCTCTTTCAAAATTGTTTTTTGAGAATCTGCTCTTACAGAGTTCCCTGAGTAAACAGCAGAATAACAAGCTACAGCCTCAACCATAACTGGAGGACAGAGTCACATCTCCTGTGATAATCCCTTCTCCAAGGAAAGGCAGGAAACCAACTGCTAGACTGACATCCTTGCAGTTTTCACTGTCTACCTGCTGCCTTTTTTGTTATCAACTGACAGTCATTGCTATTTTTTTTCTCTTTGTCTCCCTTAACGTCAGCCAGCCTCTTGGACTCCCGGCTAGCATCTCTTCTCTTTCTTTGGGATGCTAGGCCATCTTCCTACTCTCTTCCCCCAACTGCCCCCCACACTTCTCTCCTCTAAGAAGGATAAAATAAACTTTTCTACTTTTACAACGTAATTTATGCATCAGAAATCTTTCTTCATCTGCATGTGAGCACCTACTAGGCTTTCCACCCTAACAGTGAGAAGAGGAATGCAATAAAGACCAGTCATTGACAAGAATGGCCCCGTATCATTGTGCTCCAGTGTATTTTTCATTGTGTGGCCAAGCTTTTTCACTAAGAGGAAGGAAGCGTATAAAAAAGGGCACCACACTGAATCCCTTTTCTGTGTGTCTCACATCTGAAATGGATCCTATTCTGAATTACCTCCTTTAAACTACCAAATAAGAGCTGGAATGGAACAGCAAAAACCATGAGATGCCTAGGTTGGCCTAGGTCTGTGGCACTTCACAATGAATTAGAAAGGGAAATGAAATGTTAGGGTTTTTGTCTTAGGGCTGTCCTCAGGAAGGGCAATCATATCTGACAAATTGAACCTTGTACTGCTATTCTCAACTTTAGCCCAAAACTATGTCTATCTTAGAATAGAAACTTATATATCATTGGTATGGAGATTCTAAAGGTATTTAATGCATATATTCTAAGTGAACCTCACTGTTCCTGGCTGTTGACAAGCATCTTATTCACACAGAGCTTTAGTTTCTTTATAAGAAGTAGCTTATTTAAGTGGAAAGTCACTGGACTTGGAGTTAACCTGTCATATAATTTTTAGCTAGTTAATCTCAGGAAAATCATTTTATCTCTCTGAAAATATACTAATAAAATAGGGATCATGATACTACCTTCTTAGAGTGTCATAGGGATTTTTAAAAAATGAATGTATCAGTATGTTAAAATGGAATTCTTTCTATCTCAGTTTTTGGCTGTGGCCCAAAGAGGCTGAGGAATAACAGAAAGAGTAGGTGGCAAGTATTTCCTCTCACATTCCGAAGTGAGGTGCTAGACTTGTTTAATGTTGGCAAAGAAGGTTGCTACAAACTGTTTTTTTCCAACTTTAGTCCAATAAAAGGATTGATGTTGAATAGATCAGGAAGGAAGGATTTATTGGGAGCAAGTTATTAAAGAACAGCATCATTTTTCTTTTTCCTTCAAATAGGGAAAGGGCTTCTAGAAAAGCACTCATAGAGTATAAAACATACCCATTGAAGCATAGTAGATTTAATAGAATATTCTCTATGAAATCATTGATCATAGAAAAATCATGGCACTGTGAATAAGAGGGACAAGTCCTAGAACTTCATGAACCAAGTAAGACTGGAATAAAGGATATAAAGATGAGTACAAGAAGAAATGAGGTGCTAGACCATAAAACTCTTTGACTTTTACATTGCAAGCAATGGACAACATTTCACACAGACTCTTGTTTCAGATGATCACCCTGGTAGCAGAGTAGAGGATTATTTGGTGTTAAAGGGTGGTGATGGAGGTGGAGGTGTAGATGAGGAAAGACTGGAGAAAGAACAAATGTAAAAAAAATAATACTTTAGGCCAGAATTAGAAAAGTCTTAATGGGAGAGGATATTCTGGGAATATTTTGCATATAAAACAAATAGGATTTAGAGAATTTAGTGAGTGGAATGTCCAGAGTGAGCAAAAGGAATTTATAATAGTAAATTTCCTAGATACCTGTTTGTGTAATTAGATGAACTTTTGTGCCATTGCTAAGATGAAATCTACATCGTGAGAAACAGATATTGAGGGAGTAGAAAATGAATTAAGTTTGAAATGATTGCTTTAAAATACTGATGGTTGCTCAATTATTAAAGGGAAATTCACTACTCTAATTCTGTCATGATAATTAACATCTTATAAAGCACTTACATTTGATTATCTTATTTAATTTTATGGAAGGAGTAAGTATCCCAATTTTATGGATAAATAAGCTCAGCATAAGAGAGGATAGTGTACATGTACAAATCACGTGGCTAGAAATGAGCAGAAATTTGACTTAAACACATGTGTTCTGACTCCAAGTCCTGTGAGCTCTCCACTCAGGATGAATTCACATGTTTTGGAAAGCTTTATATCAAAGGTCAAAATAAGAGTGGTGCTCTGGTAACCTCTAGAAAATGGCATTCTGAATCCTGACAATCGTTGAACATAGAAAAATCATGGAACCATGAATAAGAAATGAGAAGTCCTAGAACTCCAGGAACCAAGTAAGACTGGAGCAAAGGATGTAAAGATGAGTACATGAAGAAATGAGGTGCTAGAATGTAAAATTCATAAATAAACAACTCAAAAAATATTTACCTGAATGCACACATGTCTCCTGACCTCACTATTTTATGTCTGCATACAACAAAATCTTCCTTAAGAAACATGACAAAAATATTAATTTATACTATAGCAGTCATTTTTCTCCCTAAACAGTTATTTCCAAAATCATATTATTAAACCCACAAGTTAGCTAACACACTATCAAAACCCTGTTTATATACAGGGTTTTTACTGTATTTTTTGTATGGAATTCTCTGTTTCAGAACCCAAAATGAAAGAATTAGAAATTAAGAACTTTCCTTCTCCAACAGTTCACTTACCTCTGTTTACCTTTATGATCTGCAGAGCCAGCTGAGAGTCTGTCTAGGGGAGACCCAAAACCAGAGAAACTCCTTTTCTTCTTTGTCTCAATTACATCATTCTCCAAGGACACCAGTTCATCAAGAAGAAAGAGTTTTGCTGCTAGATCAGTGGCTGATTTCTCTTCCCTGACTGTGGGTGGTGACTGTACATTTATGACTGTAGAATCCAATGCCTATAGGGCAGAGGAGGGTGACATCATTCATTCATTCAAAGAAAATTCAAATATGTAAAACATCTGCATTTGGCTTTTGGTAACTTTAGCTCATATGCTAATCATTAATATTTTATGTTAATATGGGATTATGTTCCTGAGAGAAAGCTCGACCTTTAGGGAATGAAACACATAGAGGTGGGGTATATCCAAGAGAAAATAAAGCAAAACTAAACACATAAAGGAAAAAAGCCCTCCTGGGCTGCTCCTAAAATTCAGCATATTAACAAATCATTTTTTTTCATATTCTTTTGCCAGTAACAACTTCATCCTTCCTTATCATTCCCATAGTGCTTTATGGATTCCTCTTTCATCATTGCACTCATTATGTTTACGTGTATTAGATTGGCTATAATATATTTGTATTCCTTATTAGATTGAAACTTGAGGCCAATGACTTTGTCTAATTAGTCTTTTATTTTCTCTACTCGATGCCTAGCCCTGTATTTTTCTAACAGTTAGTACTCAATCAATTTTTGATAAATATTTATTGAATGAATTCTAAAAAGCTAAACCTCATGCTATTTCCTTTTAACTACTCATTCATTCTTTATTGATTCAAACCATTAAAAGTCCACTGTGTAGCTTCTGCATGAGACTTAAGGGAAGCAAAATAAACAAAATTTAGTCTCTGTGCCTAGGGTCCTTACCTTCTATTCATATGATTTATTAACAAATACTGTCTGAGCTTTCCCAATAACTTTATTGACCTGTGTAAAATTTCTTGTTTGTTTATTTATTTGTTACACATACCGCCGTTTTGTGCCTCATCCCAGTCATAAAAGTATAGGTGTTCAGTTTGTGAAGTCTATCTTTTCCTTTCCTGGACATTTTAGAAATGCCTAGGAAATGATGGTATTTTTTAAATGCTCCTATTAATAATCCTGAGTCATTCTGTAGCCCCAGAGTACAACTTTTTTCCCCTCAGAACCTTGAGAAGACTCCCCCGTGGGAAAAGTTTTTAGCTCCTGGGAATCTCTTCCCTCTACCCCTTTAATCACATTATTCTATGTGTCAGAATCTTGGTCGTGATTTTGATTTTTCTTCACTTTCTGTTTTTCGTCTTGGATTCTTTCTTCCATTGTCTTTCTATTCTTTTCATTTTCTCCAATAAAATGTAAGACTAGCATTTTTCAAGCCTTTTCATCGTTGACTCAAGCAACACTCTTTTGAAATATTGACAGACTGACACACACACTCAAAGGAATTGAGCCTCCTGTTTCCTTATCCAATCAGATCTGCACTAAGTCAGATCAGTTCTTCCTGGATAACCTCTCCTGATCCTGCTATTTTTGATTCCCATCAGTATCGACTTAAATCAAGTCCACATCACTACTTAGTGTACTCCCGCTATACCTTTAACTTGTTTCTATACCTGCTATCTCTTGGTTCACTATTTCACCCTGAATACTGCTATGAAGTTAGTTATCCCCAACATCACTTTTATCATACAAAAAGAAACTTTAATGCATCTCATAGTTCTTTATTACTTACAGTGCAAAGCCCAAACTACTCCTGAAATCTCAACTTGTCATTTCCCTATATAAACCCGACAACATAGAAAGTGGAGAAGAGAAGGATGCTGTAATTATGAGGAAGAAATCCCAACAAGCATGAGACAAGCCTTCAAAGGACAAAGACTTTTTGCTCTTTTTCAAAGCATCCTCCAAAAAATATGCTTTTATTCCTCGAACTGACACACATATAGAGTATAGTTTCTTTTTTAAAATATCCTTAATCTTCAGAAAAAACATACAATTCATACAAACTAGTCCTTTTTAACGTGCATTTCAAGCTCTCACTTTATGTTATTTAAGAAACACAAATAATATGTTTCTAGTAACATCAAATAAGCCAAATTAATTTTTCTTTGCATGATGTCCTGACATTTCTTTTCCCTTTTATTTCAGTTATAGTACCAAGAAAATATTTATACTGTAATTAAAATTTTGGACAAAGCTACTCAAATTTTAGCATGCCATCAGCTTCAAATTTCTATAAAAGTACTTCATCTGGACTTAATTGATTTAACTAAAATATGGCTGAAATGATAATGACTTTTCTTTTAATGCTTTTTTGTTCAAGGAGTACAAATCTTTGTTGTCACTTTAATTTCTTTTAACATTTAGATAAGTGGCTTTTTTGTTATCCACTGTGAGGGAAAAATAATAATCACTACTCTTTACATTTAAAGTCTGCAACCGTGAATGTCATATTGGCAATAAAACTAAGACAATAGAAAAATACTTATTTCCTTTATTTTGTGTTATATCCCTATTTGATTTTGTGTGCATTTTCCTATTTGTCAGCTGCACCTGTACCTCCTTACCCTAATAGAAATGACTTATGTTCATAAAAGAATGTAGGTGTGCATGTATATATAGTCCCATAAACTAGTTCCCATTACCTGTGTTGCTACTTCCTCTGAGAGCACTTTTCCTGAGCTCCCCAGCATCAGCGTCATAGCTAGGATAAAATGTGCACTCGCTAATCTCCAGTCCAGCATCTACGGGTCACATAAATCAGAGTTAGCATTGATTATTCATTTGGAGTATAAAGATAGAAAACAAAGCCCCTAAAAAGATTGTTAGGGGCAAATGGTAAGCCAAATTATTCAGGTTCAATGTACTGGAGTGCATCTCTACAAAACTTAAATAATACTTAATAGATACTGTCAATTTCCCAGAATGAATTCTATCAAGGCTTCATTTTCACGGAAACCTAGATTAGGTTTATACAGCTATAATAACAATGTAATTGAAACTGATTCAAGGTCTGAGGAATACAGTTCACGTAACTTTATTCTTTGATTATCTAATTCAGAGAGTACAACCTCATGTACCTGTGAAGAAATGTGTAAAAGTGGTGGGTGAGGTATAAAAAAATAAGGACTGGTGGGGTTGGTGGTGAACCAGAGAGAATGTGTTGCCTCTAAAAGCATTTAAATTTAAAATTTCAAAAGACCAAACATCAGTTAGGAGTGTTAATTTATGTACACAACAAATTCTGTTGTGTAGGATTTCATAAGCAAGAATCAAAAGATGGACATCTTATAAAAAATTGTCAAATTTATGTCAAAATTGAAAGATTCCATATGATAAGATGCAATAAACCAAATCAAAAGACAAGTTACTAAATGAAAGATATTTCCAACATACATAAAAAGAAAGATTGGCATTTGGAACATGTAAATAACACTTATAAATAAAACTTTAAAAATAGATATAGTAAATAAAAATTGACCAAAGTTATAAATGAATATTTCATAGAAAATAACTAAAGGGACAATAAACATTTCATAATACACACAATTTACTTAATAATGCAAATAGAGAGAGAAATGAAATGCCATTTTACACACATCAGAATGGTAAAAATTAAGTTAACATTGCAAATGTTAGAATGGTGTTAGGAAACAGAAGAATATAAAAAATACTGATGGAGTTGGAAATAGATCTAATTATTTGGAGAAAATTGGGGAATATATAAAAAGGTTGCAAATGGTTATCTTCTTCCTATGACACATTTATTTCACTTCTAGGTATGTAAACGTCCCTGAGAAACTCACAATGTTTATAAGAAGATATGCACCTGAAAGTTTATAGCCTCATTGTTTATAGTAGTAAAAAACTAGAATTGACCCAAGTGCCCTATTGAAGATCCAATGGATTTATTAATTGAGATGTATTTAAATTATTCAATTACAACAAATGATTTAAACATATATTTATTTGTTGTTAAAACAAATGATTTAAATGTATGTATATCTACATGCATGAATTTCAAAGAAACAGTTTTTGGGGGAAATGGTAAGTGCAGACCAATACATATGACAAGACACAATTTAACTAAATTGTAAATACACAAAGAAAATCCATATATTTTGGTACATATTCAAATATTTAAAGTATAAGCCAATTGAACTTGATTCATAATTATGATTGCATCTGGGGAGAAAGAAAAGTGAATAAGATTATGGATGAAACATAAGGTTTCAATTTTTAATCTATAATTTTTTTAAAGCATATATGCAAAAATATTACATTTGTTAACTCTAAGTAGTTAGCACAAAGGTGTGTCATTTTTATATTTCTGAATTTTTAGATTAGAAAGCCAATTAAATCTCATCTATGGTCTGTATCAGGCTTGCCGACTGCCAGTTTGACCACTGGAACGCATAACAGCATATATTGAAGCAGAAGATATTGTCCTACGGAGGAAGATCACAGAGAATGGGCTAGAACAGAGTGGGCTTGAACCTAAGTTTTGCTATTTAGTACATGGTATTGGTAAAATCTTCCAAATTCATCCTTTATGAATGAGATGTCTCAGTAAACCTAATTCCTTAAACAACAATCATTTGGAAAACCTGCTGGGGCAAAGAGAAAATGGATGCTAGAATGGACACTGAAAGATTGGGCTTGAGTCTCACTTTTGCTTTAGTACTAGTGTGACCTTGGATATATATCCTTTAGCTTACCTGAGCTTCATTTTTCTTATTGGAGAAATGAGAAATAATCCCCACATCAAAAAAACTTTAAGAGGATTGATTAATGCATACCCCTTTTATCTCATTTATTATTTGTAATTTATTAGTGTAAGAATATTTGAGTTATTACTAAATGTTTAACAACTACATTTGTTTTATTGTGACCCAAGATTTTATCACGTTCTTAAAACAATATTTCTGTGAAACCTCAGTATAGATTTTAGTAATAAATGTTATGTGCTAGAATATGAACAAATATTTTATATAGACAGAGTATTTGTATTAACTATGTCATTTAAGACTTAAAATGGAGATAAAAATATTTTAGCACTCTTTATAACATTTTTTATCAAATATAATCTTATTTTTTATGTAATGTTGTCTAAACTAGGTCATCGTGACACCAGTTAGTCTATTTTAGCATCTTGTCACATAATGCTAGTCACTAGCAGCATCTCTGTATTACATTCTTTTTTGGAAGGGAGCAGTAAATTCTTTCTGTGTTCTCTTTCTGCTAAACTGATATTTGAGCTGAGTTTTCTTTTGTAAGTATCAACACACAATAAATCATGACTATTTCTCTAAATTGAGAATATGGACAAAAAGAATACAACAGATATCTGGTGAAAATAAGAACCAAAAACTGCCTTCAGAAAACCTGCCACTTAATAGTATTTTTTTCCCTGATTTTGCTGATGTCTCTAGAATTTCCTCCACTTAAAGAATGATATGTTAAAAACATAAGTGTATTTTTAAAAAGTGATTTTATATTTCCGATATATCTTTTTTAAAAAATAGCTCTCATTTAATCAAAGATAAACAATTATGATTTTTTCCTGGCTTTTATCATGTTAAAAATAGGTTACAAAGTGTGAAATTGTCTAATTTTATGAGCTTTCCATGTAGATTTCCGTTAACTATTTTTATGCTTATTTTACTAACCAGGTTTTTTTTCATCTCTGCAATTTTATAAATGGCACAAGATGATGGATGTTTATAATATTGATGATTATGTCTGAAGCATATATTTTTGTACTTGGGTGTATATAGGAAAAATCATAATGTATCATCTTACAGATAACCACATCCTGATTATTTGGATAGGGAGATGTAAAAATAAATGCTGAGTTTAAATACACACATTTAATGGTTTAAAGCCAGATTTGTATCCAGTTAACCAGAAGGCCAAGTTCCTAAATATGGCATTTGGTACACTAATGAAAACAAACACTCTGGCACCTGCCACACAAAAGACATTTGATTAGTTGAAACTTGATTGCTACAAAATTAGAAACAGAGGAAATTATAGGGAGGAAAGAAAAAGACTAGGTTCAGCCCCATTTTCCTATTTTGTTGATAGTGGATAAATATAGCCCATGATTTAAAATTCTCCTTGGCCTCATGTAGGCAGAAAGAACATTCAAAGGATTTTCATTGACTGTGTGAATAAACCAAAGTGGAGGTTTTTACAAATTTTCTGCACATCAATCATTTTTACTGAGCAATTTTTGAGTAATATTTCTATGGGTAGTGAGGAGTTTCAAAAGAGACAGTGGGCACAGGATCTGCCTTATAAGATGATTGGCTGTGTACTCAATTCATTTTTAACCATTTGGACTATTATGTGTTTTTACTTGTTAAATAGTACTACTGAATAAACAAACATCTTACATTACATATCATCTTAAGCATTCTTTCACAGACTTTCCACATGTAAGAACTCATTATATCCTGAAAGAAGCCTCCAAACTGTCTCAAGTGATGGTGGATAGAGAAAGGCAGGGAGGTGTAAATATTTTTCATGTAAGTTTGGGATCTACTGTACATTCCTTTAGAATAGAGAGAGTTCATATTGACATACTAAAGACTCTGAAAGTCCAGTGGTAAAAAAAATCACAAATATAATTTAATTATATATAAGCCAGAGTTTAATGAGAAGACTGTTAAAATGATGAAAGATGTTTTCATTATTAAGAATCAGTGGGTGCAACCATTATGGAAAACAGTAGAGAGGTACCTCATAAAACTAAAAATAGAACTACCATATGGCCCAGCAATCCCACTGGTAGGTATATCCAAAGGAAGGGAATTCAGTACATCAAAAATATATCTGCACTCCAATGTTTATTGGAGCACTATACACAATAGCCAAGGTATGGAATCAACCTAAGTGTTCACCAACGGAACAATGGATAAAAAAATTGTGGTACATATGCACAATAGAATATGATACAGTTACAAAAAGAATAAAATTCTGCCATTTGCAACAACATGGCTGGAACTGAAGAATGATATGATAAGTGAAATAAGCCGAGCACAGAAATAAAAATCTCACATGTTCTCATTCATATGTGGGAGCTAAATATTGAAAACAAGTGATCTCATGGAGACAGGAAATATAATGATGGGTACCAGAGTCTGGGAAGGGTAGTAGAGAGGGGGGCATAAAGTGGGGATGGCTAATGGTATCAAAATACAGTTAGATAGATAACAGATAGATAAAATGAACAATATTTGATAGCACCATAAAGTGATTACAATCAACGTAAGTTAGGGTGTACTTTAAAATAACTACAGGAGTAGAATTAGAATGTTCCTAATACAAAGAAATGTTAAATACCTGAGTTGATGGATACCCCAATTACCCTGATTTGATTAATTCACATTGTATGCCTTGTCAAAACATCACATGTACCCTATACATATTTACGACTATTATGTACCCATAATAATTAAAAAAAAAAAAAAGAAAGAATCATTGGGGCAATGAGCCATTGTTATCATGGGAAAAAAGCATCTCTCAAGTGGGTTTGGGGAAGAAGAAAAAGGCTGAGAACTACTGATCTAAAAACTAAAGGACCAGCCTGAGCAAGAGTGAGACTCTGTCTCTACTAAAAATAGAAAAATTAGCTGGGTAACAAAAAATAGAAAAAAATTGGCTGGACGTGATGGTGTGTGCCTATCATCCCAGCTACTAGGGAGGCTGAGGCAGGAGGATCACTTGAGCCCCAGAGTTT